ATCAATTAGATCCCAGACGCCGGCCCCTCCCCCGGGAGCACTCGCCCCCCGCCTGCCCCGCTGCCGGGTGAGTCATCCCGTCCCGAAGGCGGGACCCTCGCGCCTGCAGCCCCCGCCCGGTCGGCAGGGCTGTGCACGGGGCCCCTCCCCGGACGGACGGGCCGGGCCCCGCCCCGCGAGGCTCTGGGTGGGCTCGGGTCAAGGCCAGCGGGTCTCCCCGGCTGCGGGCTGCGCGCCCGGAGGTGCGAGGGGAAGCGCGGTCCTCTGCGCGGCCGCGGGGGCCCGGGGGCTGCGCTCCCGCCGCCGGACACGAGGGGGCGGTGTCGCCGCCTCTGCCGTCCGCTGAACTCCGGCAACTCCTGCAACTCCTGCAACTCCTGCAACTCCTGCAACGCTGAACACGGGTCAGGGGCACAGAGGCAGCGGGCGAGGTCCCGACCCTATCTGGGGCTGGGCACCCCGCAGAGCTGGGTACACGTCTGTCGGGACTGCGGACTGTGCATCTGGGTGTCTTCCCTGGAAACAGTGTCCCCATCTGCAGAATGGGACTCCTCAGCTCCTACAGGGATGAGATGAGGGTGGCCAGAAGGTCCCCCCAGCTGCAGGGGAGGAGCTGGGAGATGCAGCGAGCCCTTTGCCCGCCCTTGCCTTCTTGCAGCACCCCGGAATTTGAACCCTGTTGCACAGCTGGGACCCAGAGGGTGACCCCCCTCATGGCAGCTCAGGGTGCTGGGACCCCCCCCCCCCCCCCCCTACACACACACACACACCGCCACGAATGCGGCTGGGACTTGGCAGCCAGGGAGCTGCTGTTTGTCGGATTGCTTCTTTTTAGACCCAGTTTGGAAACAGCTGTTGCGACATGAATTTGGAAACAGCTGTTGTGACATTTGCCAGGGTCACCACCGGGACTAGAACGAGGACAGCAGGCGAGTCTTCAGGTGGGGGCGGCGTGAACTGGTTCTCCTGTCTCTCCTTCATGGGAGAGAGCTGGCCAACTGCGCCCGGGCTCGGGTGGCAGCCAGGGAAGGCAGGGAGCAGGAGTGACCCGCTGGGACACTCCTTCAGAGGAAAGACCAGCACCGCAGCTCAACGCTGCCGCAGCCTTGGAAGCTCTTTTTGGGTTTTGGTTTGGGGGCCACACCCAGAGGTGCTCAGAGCTCACTCCTGACTCTGTGCTTGGGGCTCACTCCCGGTTCTGTGCTCGTGGCTTACTCCTAGCTCTGTGCTCGGAGCTTACTCCCAGCTCTGTGCTCAGGGCTCACTCCCAGCTCTGTGCTCAGGGCTCACTCCTGGCAGGGCTTGGGGGAACCCTTTGGGATTCTGGTGACCAAACCCAGGTTGGCCATGTTCAAGGCAAGCCCCCTACCCGCTGTAGAACTGGAATCAAATGTCCAGCAATTTTTGATTCTCTTTTTTAAAAAAAAATGGCTTTTGGGGCCACACCTGGCGATGCTCAGGGGTTACTCCTGGCCCTGCACTCAGGAATTGCTCCTGGCGGTGCTTGAGGGACTATATGGGATGCCAAGGATTGAACTGGGCTCAGCTGCACGCAAGGCAAACACCCTCCCTACTGTGTTTCGCTAAATTTTAAAGTCTCCCCCCAGCCCCCCAGACTGGCAAGTCCACTTCGAGGAACTTATTGTGTAGAAACGCCTGTTTGTGAGTTCTAAGACGTGCCCACCAGCTATTTTCACAGGGCGGGGGGCCTTTGGCTCCTCCCCACCACTCGGATATCCAGCAGCAGAACAAGCATCTATGTCAGTGACCGTCTCAAAAGAACTGAGACGTCTCCAAACACTGGGGACTCCAGGAAACTCGAGGGTCCGGGATGCGTCTCAATGCTCTGGCCCCAATTCCAGCAACTCTGGAAGATTAATAGATGCACATGGACTGGCACACACCAGGGCTCTGCAGTTGAGAATCTCTCCTGTGGGCAGTTCCTGTGCCCTGGGCCCTCCCAGTCCACATCCCAGGTTCATGTGGATATATTGGTTTCCTCATTTCTTAGGCTCAAAGCTCCATTGCAAGTCATCTAACCCTTTTACTCTTGATTTGTGGCATCAATTTTTATGTTATTGTTTGTTTGGGGGCCACACTGGCTTTGCACTCCGGGATTACTCCTGGTGGGGGGGGGGTCCATACTGGTTGCTGGGAACGGACCCCAGGTCAGCTGTGTGCAAGGCAAGTGCCTTATCCCTTATAATATCTCTCCAGCCTGATACCAATTGGCTTTTGTTTTTGGTTCACCCACCTGGTGTTGCTCAGGGGTTCCTCCTGACTCTGCACTCAGGAATCACCCTTGGCAGTGCTCAAGGGACCGCATAGGGTGCTGGGGATTGAACCCGGGTCAGCCGCGTGCAAGGCAAGTGCCCTACCCACTGTGCTATCACTTTGGCCCCATGTGATACTAACTTCTTAAATGTCTATTTTGGGATGTGGGAGGTAGCCTGGGGGCTAGAACTCATGCCCTGTATGCTCGAGGCCCCGACTGTGACCCCTGGCACCAGTCCTGCAGAGCTCTATTGGGGGGCCTTGTGACCTTTGTCCCTGTTGGACTGAGCACTGAGATGTCTGGCCTGGTTGGTTGAGTATCACCAGGTGTGACCCTGGGGTGCCCTGCGCACAGCCCGGGAGGGTTCAAGCTGCCTCTGCCATGACTCTTAGTGCTTCCTGCACGCTGGTCACCCTCTGGCCTGGGCATGGCCAGGTCCCTGGTACCCTGGAAGGAAACGGATGCGAGAGATTGGCTCACCCGGGCTGTCAGTGAGCAAGTCAGGCCTGCCTCAGGTGATGGGTCGTGTGCTCTCTGTCGCTCGTCACCTTACAACTCTCTCCTCGTTGTCTGGAGAGATGGCACAGTGGGCAGGGTGCTTGCTTTGCCCTGGGTCACCCTGAGTTCGATTCCTGGCATCCCACCTGGACTTCTAAACTCTGGTGGGGGAATAAGCCCTGAACATGGCCCAGTGTGGCGCATCTAAATTCAAACAAACACAAAGAATTCTTTCTTTCTTTCTTTCTTTCTTTCTTTCTTTCTTTCTTTTTTCTTTCTCTTTTGGGGTCACACCAGGCAATGCTCAGGGCTTACTCCTGGCTCTGCACTCAAGAATTCCTAGCAGTGCTCAGGGAAACACACGAGGTGCCGGGGATCGAACCCAGGTCAGCCACTGTGTGCAAGGCAAACGCCCTCCCCGCTGTACTATTTCCTCTGGCCCCATCAAAGATCTCTTTCTTCTGGTTTCTGCGGCTTGCATGTGCTGGGCAGCGAACCCTGGGCCTTCCACAGGCAAAGCCTGTGTGGTACCGCTGAGGGAGCGCCCAGCCACCTTGAAGTTTTGCCTTCCTGTCCTTTGGTTGCTGTGGCAGCCGGTGCTGGGCTGCTGCGGTTCCCACATGTGGTTGTGTGGGCTCCCCCCTCCCCTCACCCCCCAGAGCCTGGCACTGCAGCAACAGGGGCAGCTGTGATGGTCAGGGGAGCGAGAGGGGCTGGGGTGGCACCCACCACCTCACCCCCAGGACAGGCTCTATCGTGGAGATGCATCCCGGACCCTCGAGTTTCCTGGAGTCCCCAGCGTTTGGAGACGTCTCAGTTCTTTTGAGACGGTCACTGACGTAGATGCTTGTTCTGCTGCTGGATATCCGAGTGGTGGGGAGGAGCCGAAGCTGCCCCCCCCGCCCCCCGCCATGAATATAGCTGGTGGGCACGTCTTACAACTCACAAACAGGCGTTTCTACACAATAAGTTCCTCAAAGTGGACTTGCCAGTCTGGGGGGCTGGGGGGAGACTTTAAAATTCAGGGGTTCATGCCAGGCTATTTCGCTTGGGGCACCCCAGAGAGGGGCGGAGGAGACCCCGCCCTACCCCAAGGGACCCAGCCCCAGACACCCAAAAACCTCCAGAACTCAACCGACGCCACACTCACGGCCACTCTCCACACACACCCGGGCCGAGCCTCGCCCATGAGTGAACTTATTCCTGGACACTTCATATCACACACCCTGCCCATACTCCAAGAGCACTGCACCACATTTGATGGAGTTCAAAGTAGGAGGCGACCAACCTTAGAGGGAAATATTGTTTTATTTCGGTTCTGCCTTGGGACGGGGGTTGGGGTTCGTGATGGAAACACCCGAAATATGGTGGTGGGAAGGCGTCATGGTGGTGGGATTGGTGTTTGAATATTGAATGTAATCAAATATTGTGAGCTAACTTATAGCACTGTAGCACTGTCCTCCCATTGTTCATCGATTTGCTCGAGCGGGCACCAGTAACGTCTCCATTGTGAGACTCGCTGTTACTGTGTTAGGCATATTGAATACATCACGGGGAGCTTGCCAGGCTCTGCCATGCGGGCGAGATACTCTCGGGAGCTTGCCGGGCTCTCCGAGAGGGGCGGAGGAAACGAACCTGGGTAGGCCGTGTGCAAGGCAAACGCCCTACCCGAAATAGAATAAAATTCAGGGGTTGTCGAAGAATTGCATTCCTCACAGTCCCCCACCTCCCCCCTCCTCAGTGACTGAAGGACAGACCCTGACTGCACCCACCTGGGTCTTATCAACTGTTGCCCATCCCCCAGCTGACGAAAGGATTCATTTCGAGTCACGTGAATTATGAGTGCTGCTTTTCATCTGTTTATCCGCCATTTATATTTCTCTTACGAGCTGTATTTCACGTCCTTAATCCATGCTGTGCTTTGGCCGTGTCTGCTTCATGGGGATATACAAGAGCTCTCGGAGCACTAAAGGGACGGGGAACGTGTCTTTTTTCTCGTTTATTGTTTGCGTTTGTGATTCCCACTCCATCCACCACATATAAGATTTTAATTTTCATGTAGCCGGAGATAGTCGTCTTTTCTTCCTGTCTTTGGGGTTTTGTGTGTGCCTTGTCTTCTCCATAATTATATATATGATTATAATGGCCTTTTTTTTCCTCCTTAGCTTTTGTAGGTTCTTATTTTATCACAGCGCTAAAATCTTGCCACCCCACCAAGTGGGGGGTAACCCAGACGACGAGGATGGGATTCGAACCCACGCGTGCAGAGCACAATGGATTAGCAGTCCATTGCCTTAACCACTCGGCCACCTTGGGCTGGAGCAATAGCACAGCAGTAGGGCATTTGCCTTGCACGCAGCCAACATGGCCGACCCGAGTTCGATTCCTCTGCCCCTCTTGGAGAGCCCGGCAAGCTACCGAGAGTTTCTTGCCCGCACGGCAGAGCCTGGCAAGCTCCCCGTGATGTATTCGATATGCCAAACACAGTAACAATAAAGTCCGATGGAGACGTTACTGGGCCCGCTCGAGCAAATCAATGAACAATGGGAGGACAGTGACAGTGACAGCTTTTGTAGGGTTTGAATTTTTAAACTGAGCACTAAGCCTTTTGGAATTTATAGTGGGGGCAGGGAGAACGACACACGATGTAATTTAATTTTTGTTTGTTTTTGTTTGGGGGGGCACCCTCAGCGATGCTCAGGGGTTACTCTTGACTCTGCACTTGGGGATCACTCCTGGGGTTCTTGGGGGGGACCATATGGGATGCTGGGGATGGAGCCCAGGTCAGCTGCATACAAGGTAAGTATCTCGCCTGCTCCAGCCTCTCAATTTAATTTCTGGACTTTGTGGTGGGCTAAGAGGGCTGAGGTGGGGCGCGACCTGTCCAGAGTTTCCAGGATGAGGTCATGGGGAGACAGGCAGATGCAGTTTCCAAAGAGGGGGTGCTAGTTCAGGGCAGGGGTCTGCAGAACCCAGAGCTTCCAGCCTCTGGGGCACCTGGACGCAGGGCTGGGGGGGCTTTCCAGGGTCTTCCCGGTGTTTGGGGATCCCCAGCAGTTCTGAGGCCTTGGGGAGCCAGCTGTGTGGCGCTGGGGGGCCCAGGTGGGCCGGGGGCCGTGACCTTCCGGTTCATGGAGCCACATTCCCTGGCCTTAAGGTGTGTCTGTGAGCCCCACACGGAGGCCTCCTGGGGGGCTGGCGATGCGATATTTGTGTGTTTTCTTTCCCCCTGCATGTGCCGCCTCCAGTCATGCTCAGGGCTGATTCCTGGCTCTGTGCTCAGGGATCACTCCTGGTGGGCTGGAGAGTTAGCCTGGGGTGCTGGGGATCAAATTGAACCTGTTTTTTCTTTTCTTTTTTTTTTTAATTGAATCACTGCGAGATAGAGCATTATGAAGCTGTGCCTGATTGGGTTTTAGTTATACAATGTTCCAACACCCGTCCCTCCGCCAGTGTAATTTTGTCCTCAGTTTCCCTCCCATCCCTCCCAAATCTCCCCCACCCCAGCCTACCTCTATGGCAGGCACCTCTCTTGTGTCTGTCTGTCTGTCTGTCTCTCTCTCTCTCTTACACACACACACACACACACACACACACACACACACACACACACACACTTCAGGCATTATGGTTTGCAATCGAGATGCTGAAAGGGATGGACCCCGGGTCTGCCGCACGCCCTCCCCCCATGCTATGGCTCTGCCTCCAATGTTTGTGTATTTTCTGTACCTCTGCTGGCCCAGCTCGAGTCGGGGGACCATCAGGTTACAGGGCCTGAGCGAGCCAGACTCCACGACGTATCTGGGGCCTGGAGCACCTCGGCCCCCGTCTCTGAGTCCCTCCGCCCCCCTGTCCCCGCCCCTCCCTCCGGGGCTGTTTGAGGCTGTTCCCCCCTCCCCACCCCCAGCCCAGCCCCTCAACTCGCCCGTCTGTGCTCACTGCATCGCAATCGTGGGCAGCTGGCACAATCTTCCTGGCTTTCATGCAAGTCCGAAGTGTTAGGAAGTTTCTTCTCTCCAGTGGAGTAATTAACTTCGGTGGTAGGAATTATAATTTATCTCCTGGCGGACCGTGTGGCAGGCGCAGCTTCTCAGACTCGGCGAGGAAAAGCAGCCGGTAAACAGCTCTTCTCCGAGCGGGTCCTTGTAGGCAATAAATAAGTGAAAATGAAAATGTTGCCAACTGCAGCCCCCGGGCGGGGAATAAAAGATGGATGGGAAATTGGAGTTGAAGGAGAGGGGTTCTCACGCTGGGCGTCTCCCTTGGGGCCCTCGGGCCCTCGGGTGTGGCTGGATTCTAGGGGAGGTTTGGTTTGCAGTATTGCTTCGTCTTGACTCACACCCGGCAGTGCTCAGGGCTGACTCCTGACTCTGTGCTCACGGGCATCACTCCTGGCGGGGCTCGGGGGACCCTCTGTGGCGGCAGGGATGGAGCCGGGTCAGATGTGTGTCAGGCCCGCACCCTCCTGCTGTGCTGTCCCTCCGGCCCCTGTCCATTGGTCCTTGGCAAGGATACCAAACCAACTCAGCTGGGGGTGAGCGGGGTAAGAGTCCTTTCTTTTTTTTTCCTTTTTTCTTATTTTTACTATTTTATCGAATCACTGTAAGATAGGCCCTTACAAAGCTGTTCATGATTGGGTTTCAGTCATACAGGGTCCCAGCACCCATCCCTCCACCAGTGCACATTTCCCAGCACCAGGATCCTCAGGTTGTTGCTGTTGTTGTTGTTGCTGTTGTCGTTGTTGTTCTTCTTCTTCTTCTTCTCTTCTTCTTTTCTTCTTCTTCTTCTTCTTCTTCTTCTTCTTCTTCTTCTTCTCTTCTTCTTCTTCTTTTCTTCTTCTTCTTCTTCTTCTTCTTCTTCTTCTTCTTCTTCTTCTTCTTCTTCTTTTCTTCTTCTTCTTCTTGCTCCTCCTCCTCTTCCTCCTCTTCCTCTTCCTCCTCTTCCTCTTCCTCTTCCTCCTCCTCCTCTTCTTCTTCTTCTTCTTCCTCCTCCTCTTCCTCTTCTTCCTCTTCCCCCACAAGGGTATTGGAAAAACTGAGCAGCTCCCTGTGAAATAAATTCATGCTCCTGCCTTGCACTCAATATAAACAAACTCAAAGACCTCAAAGTAAGATCAAAACATAAAATCATTATTTTTTTTTGGTTTGTTTTTGTTTTGGGACCACACCTGGCAATGCTCAGGGGTCACTCCTGGCTCTGCACTCAGGAATCACTCCTGGCGGTGCTTGGCAATGCCATATGGGATGCTGGGATCGAACCCAGATACGCTGCATGCAGGGCAAGCCCCTTCCCCACTGTACTATGGCTCCAGCCCCTAAAATCATCTAGAAAAAAATTCCCCAAGCAAATCTTTGTGAGTGGTTTCTTAGACAAGATATTGACAGGATAAGGGAAGGCATTGGCCTTGCACGCAGCCAACCTGGGCTCAATCCCTGGCATTCCACGTGGCCCCCAGGGCATCGCCAGGAGTAATTCTTGAGGGCAGAGTCAGGAATTACCCATGAGTGTTGCTGAGTTTGACTCCAAATCTAAAAGGAAAAAAGTAAGACAGTGACAGAATAAAGGGCGGGGGGGGGAGGGGAAATCAGACACAACTAAAATTTGAAAAAACTCTTGTGTTGCAGAGTCCATTAGGAGAAAAGACAACCCAGAGAACAAGAGAAAACACTTCTGAATAAAAAAAGTGATGAGGGAATCCGTGGCCTTACTGGGAGGGGGCGCTTAGGGGCCACATCTGGCTCTGGCTCAGGAGTGCTCCCTGCTGGTGCTGTGGGACTGTGTGCATGCCGGGGGTCTGACTGGGGTCAGGGGGTGCATGGCCAGGGCCTGTCCTGTCTCTCCTGCGTATGTTTCAAAGTGTACAGAGCTGAGTAACCCAAAGGCCACCCAATTTATTATTTATTTATTTATTTATTTTAACTTTTGGCTTTTTGGGTCACACTCGGCGATGCTCAGGGCTTCCTCCTGGCTCTGCACTCAGGAATTACTCCTGGCAGTGCTCAGGGGACCCTATGGGATGCTGGGAATCGAACCCGGGTTGGCCACACGCAAGGCAAACACGCTACCCGCTGTGCTATAATCTCCAGCCCAAGTCAGGTTTTCTCTTTGTCTCTCCTGGTGTCCTCTTCCCCCGTCAGCCTCCTGCTCCTGGGCAGCCGGGAAAGTCTCCTCATCTCAGCTAAGGGACAGGAGCCCAGCACCCCCTCCCCAGCCCACGTCCCCCTCTGGCAGCTGTTCCTCTGGGCGCCCAGGCGGGCTGGCCATGGACGCTGCACCCGCGGGTGTGGAATATCCCAGATGTCTCGTCTCTCATCCCTCTCCACCCCTCGGGGCATCAGAGTGGCTCCCGTCCCGGTCTGCCATCTTGTCTCTCGTGGTCTCAGGTCCCCGAGGTCGGGCCCCTTCTGACTGCTCCGGCTTGCCCGCTGTCTCCGAATGTACTTTGAGGACGAACACTTCCCGGTGGGCCCTGGACCGAGCGGCCGGGGCGCAGAGAGCATCTGACTCCAGCATCTGAGAGCTTGACCCGCATGCCATCAGCAGGTGACCTACTTGTGGGGGAAATGTTTGTTGACAGGCCCACCGGCATCTCTGCACAGCACAACCCTTGCCCTCCCGGCCCGTTGTGAGTCCTTCCTCTGCTTACCGGCCTGCAGGTGAGGCCCGAGCGCGGAACCTGAGTGAGGGTCAGCGCGAAGAGCTACACTGCCCACCCGTGGAGCTGGGGACTGAGAAGCAGGCGGAAGTGGTGACCTTGGACGTGCTTGGGGGACCCTGACCGGGGGAGGGCGAAAGGAGGGAAGGGAAAGGGCAGGGGAGGGGAGGGGAGGGGTTAGCATCAACACCACGACCGGTGCCAACCTGCTGGTACTCATGCCACCACTAGTACCACCCGCTCATCTCCCTGCCCCTCCCCCCCACTGCGGGAGCCACGGCACCCCTCCACGGAACGCTCCATCCCACACCACGACTTCCGCCAGCACTGCCGACCTCTGTCACCGCACGCCAGCGACTATTCCAGGCCAGTCGAAGTCCACACCACGGGGCTTCAAGCCCCTCCTCTCCCCAGACCCCAACACCCGCACCTCTCGCTGCAGAACACAGACCAAGGTGTGCGTGGCACTCTTGGGGGCATGGAGAAGACTCGGGAGCCGGCCTGAGGTCTGACGTGGGGGACGTCTGTCACTCTGGCTGGTGGGGACTGCTGTGACCGGCCATGCGGGCTGTGACTCAGGACAGACACGGAAGGGCGTCTGGAGGGCACAGGGACGTCTCCTGGGACCTGGCCGCCTTTGAGCACTCTCAGAGTGACGGCG